GGTACAGGAATGCATAAGTTTTTGTGAAATATGCAATCATTGTTACAGGTCGCTTTTGTTGTGCAAAATTGCATAGAAATAATTTGGAAATATGCATTGTTGAAAAGGTGAGGCGTTTGCGGAATGGCAGCGTACAAAAAGTTTACTATATATCCAGTCTCTTGTGATCTTTTAGTGTAAATGAATACGCTATTGAAATCAAAAGAGTAGTATGTTTGTTTGTAGTGTTTGTCGTCATATATGTCAAGTGGCTGTTGGGCTTTAACAGATGTTACGCGCAATGTAAAGCACGGCTCGTACCAAACAGCCCGAAGTTCAAATATGTAATCGAACGAGAATCTTCAACTGTTTCTTCGATGCATGAGTTTTTTGAGATACGTTGGACTAAGGCAACCAGATTTTCGCTTTCTTAAGACGATTTAGATGTCAAAGTAATAAGGTATTTCATAAGAGCACATGTGGAGATGCCGGTCGGTGACTAAAAAGTTCAAACATATTTATCAGGGGCAATCGTAAACGTATTATTTTGCGTATATTAAGGGGAATTTTCTTCCGTCACATTTCTTTGTAATTATGTCGAGAGTTTGATTACGATGAGGCTCAGATCGTTCTTGAAATAGTAGTGAACATCTTAACGATTTTCAGTGTTTTCCATTAATAAGGATTCTGTTCTACGTGCTTATTTAAATCTTCAAACTTATATATTTCTCGGAAATATTTACATAAATAGTGAGTCTTTCGACATTCTTTCTCATGCACCTGGCTGGTTGAGTTATAGAGAATCAGTCAACTCATTGGCGAGAAAAATGAATGTCTACAACAAAAGTCACAAATGAATACATTTAGCATTAATCTAAAAAAATTTCTATAAGAATTTATCCCTCAAATAAGCGCTTTCATTAGTTATTTTGGAGTTGAATATCTGCGTAACTAGCCCTTTTGATAATGAAATCCAGGCCTGTCTGAAAACCACCCTATCATCCCACAGGCACTTGCATAGCTCCAAACTTTCAAAATAACACAGATAGGAATATGTGTTGTTCTAATGCAGCCGTAGCACAAACGGCGGACTAAAGAGGCTTCCGTTTCCTTCTGTAGACAGAATTCGGTTTAATCCTCTAATGGATGGACTATGGGTTAATCACTAGTGGTTACTGCTTTGGCAGAGTAAATACGATAAATATGCGCACGACCTTTCTTCTACAGAACTCATCCTTCAGTCGTGCTCTTCTTCTTCTTTCTGCTTTAGTTCCTTCCTCCTCACATACTCATCCCTGGCTCGCAGGATTGCTGGTGTTGAGGATATCTGGAAGAGGTACCACCGAGTGACCGATGTACTCGGCGAGACCGTAGACGCAGCACTTAGGGAGCAGAAACTGCCCTCAAACTGCCTTCTCGGCCAGATCATGGGCATCCAGGGAAAGACGATTGTTCGTAAGTTTCGTCACCTTGTTCCTTCTGTTGACGAGATTTTAGTTCCCAGGTTCGTCCGGATTTTATGTTCCCGCCATTAAGCTATGCTTATTGAACGATTTTCGTCAGCTCGTATGCTCAATGTGCTTTTGTCTGTGAGCATTCTATTTATCTTAACTATATGTATCCTCATTAATTGTTAGTTTTTTTTTCTGCTAAACTGATTGTATAGCATTTTCTGTAAGTTCCTTGATCCAGTCCCCAATGACTTCTTAATAACCCGAAGAAATACATCAGATTGCAACATATTGCCAGTTTTTAGAATCCTCGTCTGGAGAAAAATCAAGAAAAATACCTCTACATCAATTACAGTAGGTCAATATTAAGTACTATAAACAATCCAAAAGAGTTCAGATAGCATTGCCCGCACACACGTCCCAAGTAACTGCCACATTTGTTGCTGTTTTCCACCTCTGACGATGGGCTCTTGTAGGAGCTCAAAAGCTCAGGAAAAAATAAACTTCGTTCCAGTGATCGACCATTTGTCTCCTTTACCAAGAGATAAGAATGGTCATCTATGGCTTAT